CCGATCAGGGCGTAGAGCAGATCACTGGAGTGTTTGGGAGGGGTCTTTGTGCGAAAGGGACACATTCAAATTCACAGAAATAAAGGTATATTTTTGTACTTTATAAACCTTGATTGGCATCTATAGGGATTTGCAGAGCTATTAAAGATGGGCAAATAGGAGCAGTACACACCTAGATTGTTTAGTTTTGCGTAAAATCTTTATGAAGATCTCTACATGCTCGATTTTTGTTTTGATCTATCTCTGCAGATCTTAAACGCTGATAATTCTCAAGCTCCTAATCCCGTAAGGCACCACGAGGTGTCAGACTTTTTTCCTTGCTTCTTAATCCTTTCTTTAATCTTGCCCTGTCTTGGTTAAAGCTGCCTGGCAGGGATGATTCGGCATCTGGAGCCGAAGGGAACCCTTCCCTTGCCCGTCTTCCTCAGTATAGCAGTGAGGCAGGAGCAAGGCCGGGCTCGGGCAGCGCTCTGACGTGCAAGAAATTCCCCCTGTGCACGGTTATTACAGCAGCACCGCTGGCTTTGCGGCGTTCGCCGTGTGCAGCCTCTTAAGGGCCAGAGCTCCAGGTGGCCAAAAGAAGTGCGAGAAGGCTCCTCAACCCTTGAAATTGTACCAGTTTATACCAGCTAGGAAACTAATCCCCCTCACCCAGCCCAGTAAGGTACGTACAGCGCAGCTCTGTACCGCAATTCAAACAGCCACGCGGCGTTGCGTTTAGTCTTCGTAGAGCTAGACAGAAAAGGAAGCCCCTTTGTGCCAGCCCGCCAGAGGATCTTTGCTTTGTGATGTGCTTCGAGTTGTTGATTCACAGAGAGATTGCCCTCCCCCTGCTCACAGTATCCACGATGGAGTCACATGCCATGTTTCCGCCACTCTTCTGCAACAAATCGCGGTGATAAGGAGGTGGCAGAGCTGAGAAACAATAGACCCGTCACTTTATTTATACTAAGCTGCAAATTTGTCAGATTCTTGGGGAAGTGTAAGTGATGTTGACTCTTTTAGCCTGTACCAGAGCCTACTGTACTGTCCCTGCGCCTGTTTTCCACTTTTAAGGGAAAGTTATCTTCCCTGGAAGTGATAAGGGTCTTTGAAAGAATCACTCTAACACTTCATGGGAATGAACACGAAAGACTTTATCTTGCACAAACTAAAACCAGTTTCACCGATTTTCACACATACTCTTCTGTGCTTCCCATAATTTATTGACCTATTTATTGACTGCCTGCCTTTGTAATATAATGTAGAATACAGAATGGTTTATTTTTGTGCTTGTGTGTAATCCCACTCGGATAAAACCTTGTACGGATCCTATTTTATGTGGAATCTCTCTGTTGAGTTGCGCTGCACAGAGACCGGGGGTGCTGGCATTTATTTTTTTTTTCTCCCCTAGATGTCTGTAAATACCGAATAGCACCGTTAACCTCCCTTGCTTACAGAACCGCTCACTCACCACAGCCATTTAAATTGCCTTCTGGAGCACGTATGCTCTTGTCCAACGCAGAACTACTCTTGCTGGGGTGTCTTTGCTCCAAGTGCTCAGCCGTGTAGGTTATTGCTGAGCTGTGCAGCCTCCACTCGTGCTGCGTGTTTCCAGAGAGTGGGGCTGTGCCACGGGGCCGTGTCGCTTCGCGCCCGCGACAGATCTCACCCTGCGAGTGACTGACACCGACCTCTTCCCCGGGCTGTGCTGCAATCTTAGCCTGTGGTTAATGGCACGTTAAAAGAATTCATCGGAGGTGTGAGATTTCCCTCTGCTGACATGAACTGCGGCAGCCAACGGTTGAAGTGTGACCACACAGATCCTTTCAAAACTATCCACAATTCTTATGAAGCCATTTGCCAAGACAAACCATTCACCTTGTTAGGAGTGATAATCCAGCATTAGGGAGATAATCCGACATTTGCTTTTATCGACTCTTTTCCGCGGCTGTTCCCGCGGCAGAGATTGGAGCAGCGTGCTTTTTGCACCACTGCCCTCACTGAACAGCACCGACATTTCTGAGCCGCACGTAGGAGGACCCGTGCCTTAAAAATAAGAATTAGCACGCTGCAGTCACCCAGAGTCACTAGAAAAGAACTGTATGCTCTCTGTGGTGAAAAACCATAAAGCATGACATGTGTTGTATCGTGCTATTTTTGGAGAAAACGGAGCGTCTCTTGAACCCTTCAGCTGCACCTACGCTGTTCAGAACCTGAGATAAGAACTACCGAGAACACGTTTTGTTCATCAATGTGTGCCTGTTGGGACCGCATGCCTGCTTCATGAGCAAAGCTTTACCTTCCTTGCATCTTACCTTTGAATACAAATCTGCAAAGACATTTCCTTCATGTTGGTGCAGTTAGATGGCAGAGATCAGACAAAATAGGACCCCAAAAAATCGCAGGCAGTTATTTTATAAAGGGCTTTCCCTAAGTAGCAAATTAAGGTTGCTTCTGCAAACTCAGAAGTGCTTGTCTTTAAATGCACCTGTCCATAGAGAGACAACACTCACAATACGGTGAGAGCCTGGCAAGAGCCAGTGCTACGGAGCTGCAAGGGCTCGTAACATCAGTGGGAAGTCCCTGAAAAAATATTCCACTGCATGTTTTCATTTTCTTTGTTTTTTCACTCATCCATCCACCCACCCACCCACCCACATTTGTACTCTGACTTCTATAAGAACTTACCTTTCACATTAAATAGGACTGTGCATTCATTTTCCTTTCATTTCTGACCTGTTTTATATCAAGATGCTAGCAGATGCTTGACTTAGAAGTCAAACCAAAGCCAAAATATGGCTTTAGCATGGAAGTATCTACTTTTCCATCCCTCCCTCCCTCCAGCTCTGAATCACTGTGTGCAGCGAAAGGAGGCAGCAACCCTGTCTCACTGAAATCATCCGTATCGGTTAAATATTTGCTTTCATCCGTTTCTCACTGAATAGGTATAAGCAAATGTAAGCAGATATGAAGCCCCTTTTTTGCTGTACACTGTATAAAAGGGCAGGCAGTGCTTGCAGTGTAATAGACAGGACAGCCAAAGGGGTGGGAGCAGAAACAAATGCCACAGGGAGAGGAAGAGCCTGGATAACATATCAGCAAGGAAGTTCAGGGAAGAGCTTTGGTCTCGGATCGCTGCTCTTAAACCAGCACACACGATGCCTCCAGAAGAGCATGAACTTCAAGATATCTTGTGCATTTCTTGGCCTCGGAAGAAATCCTGACAGCTGTGTCTCCTGTGCAAACACTCAGCACCAGTGCCAGACTTCACGAAGCACTTGGAAATTTGAGGTTCCCTGAAATGATCTGTATCTCTTACCTCTCTGCACGTGGACTAAAACTCCTCAAGCACATTTCTCCCCGCACCTTTCTTGCATTATCGTTTTCCTGGGCGTGCCCCCCGGAGGCCGGGCTCACGCTGCAGATGGAGATGGATTCCCTGCTTTCTGAGTGTTTAAGTGTCAAAGCTTGACAGCTCAGCCGTGGCTTTTGCTGCCACCAAGGCCCCCGCGGTCCTGGCAGCAAAGCAGGGCAGCCCTTCTCCCTAACAGTGCCTGGTGCCGGCTTGTGCTGCTCCCATTTGGAGGTGCCCAAATGTGAGTCTTTGGGGGAAAAAAATAAAATATTCCTGAATATTGTGGGCACACCTCTTTCCAAAGCCGGTGGGCCCTGGCAGGTGGGCATCAGCTCAAGAGCTAAAGGCAGGAGGATCAACCTCCCTAAAACTGAGGTCACTCCCAAGGCAACCATCATCCTAAGCAGCAGCCAAAACCTATTCCCACCTTCTCCTCCCAAGCTCCAGCTCCTGCACTGCCCTTGTTAGACTGCTCAGAGAGCAAAGCGAAGCAGAACCTCCAGCAGTCTAGAAATACCAAAGGATTCTGTGTTTTTTAACAGCCACAGGCGATTCGGTGCCTGGCTTACCCACAGCGCAGTGGGAGAGGTTCGCTGAAGCATTTTCTATGAAACACACTGAGCCAAACCCCTTTCTAAAGAAAAAAAAAAAGAGAGAGAGAGGAATATTTCTTGGCACTTGAACATCTGCTTCAAGCATTTGAAAAAATACAGCCCAGTGTTAATTTAAACTTCCTTATAACCCCGTTCAACATTTGGAGTGCAAACACTGTTAATAGGATGGGAACCGGGGTGGTGGTGGTTTGCTTACTATATTGGGAAACAAAGCCAGAGCAAAACTAGCTTGAGATAGAGTTTTTGTTTATATTGCTGACCCATCTGTCTTCATTAATGCTCTATTTACAGGAAAAGTTAAAAAATTAGCTTCTGCTCCTTCTTCAGTTGCAAACAGCAACAAATAAAGGCTGAACGGTTCATTTGCCCTCAACTAAAAATGGAAATTCTTATCAGCACCCCTTGGAAGAAGAGCTTTATTATATGAAGCGTATTATTGTTAATATCAGTGATGGGACTAGGCATTCTGGCCAGAGCTGTGTATTTCTAGCACAGGCAATGTCAGGGAGGTGCCTATGTCACAGAAAGCAGCCGCAAAACATGACCCGTGTCTCACTCGAAACTGCTGCTTTGAAGTCTAAGGGAGAAATCATGTGGTTTTTCTCCACGCAGGGTAATGGTGTGATGCCTCGGCTGCAAAAAGGGATGGTTTTGAGGCTGCGCCTTGACGTGACATAGAAATCACCTGAGGTTTCTCTGGCACTGGCACTGGATCAGGAGGGGCAGTGCAAGGTAGTGCCCCTTCTCTTACCTGCAAGTAGAGGGATGACCCCTATGCCCTTGAATTTCTAGAGTTTCAACGCCTGAACAGATAAAAGCCACCCCAGACGTGTCACCCTGAATGTGCACCAGACAAAACGAGGCAGGTTTGTGACAGCTGGTTATTAAATCGGGTCCCACATTTAGCTGGCACAGCTGTAACCCAAAGAGGACCTGAGCTGGTGGCCTGGCACCTCGGGACATTTCCTAATGACAACAGACTGTCAGACCAAA